TGTGGAGGCTGAGATTGACGTTCTGGACTTAACAGGTAGGGAGGGCTAGGTGGAAAAAGGACCATTCAGAAATCTAGGCTGCCCGTACTAGTGTATGCGTCATTAATTTGGTCGTATAAGTCAGGGTATATAAAATGGCAGTCGTATTCCGTGATAATCGTATAATTAAGGACATAACATTTCCACCTAATTCTTCGTTCACATTTTTTATTTTCAGGGTGTCAATTTAATTATTAAAGAAAAATTAACAGTTGTTTACTACTTTCTTTGCTATTTTTAATCCCTTTTGTCACCGGTATTTTTGTAACTAATTTCATGAAACATTTTTTTACATTACTTTTAGCTATATTCTACAAAAAACGACTTGTATACATTGAAACCTGAGAAAAGAGATTTACGTTTCCTAAATCTTTTACAATCTTTTCCTTTTAATTCTAATTTCTTTGCTTCGAAATTTCAATCTAGGATTGTTTTATCTTTTAACAATTTAGAAACACTTAGATTATGATGAAAATATCGAATATTCAAAACTGTTCTGGAGTCAAACCAAAAACTGAATACTTTGATTTGACTAGCCACCATATCAAAGTTTGACTCATAGTCAAATATAGAAATCTTTATTTGGTTACTGAATTACATTGATCTGACTAAATCATGTAGAAAACATACATTGAAATTGTTCTCTTTGTTTACCAACTTATATGTTCATTCTAAACTAGTTATTGAGCGTTATCATATTCCTCGTATATTAATGAATTATAAACAACATACTCTGAACTTTACTGAATTTTTGAAACTAAGGAATGATATCTGTAAGATAATCGAACCAAAATATCATATTAAAGTATAATTCAACTAAACGATACTTCTTTTTATTCTTTACTTAAAGTCATTAAAAATGTTGTCTTTTTTTCGTTTGGCTTCTACTTTTTTATTCGAATTTCTTATTACTTCCTCTTAGATGTTTTAATAAATTTACTGTAGTCTTTGCTCAATATTAAGATGAAAGTAAATTTTTACAGTAGGATGTAGTAGACACGCATCAAATCAATATTTCCTGGTTATCTAAAAACAAAATAATAAAGTATGTTAGAAATAACAGGTGTAAACATTAAAGGAATATGAATACTAAGAATACTATTTCCCTTTAACAGTTTTCTCATAGTTTTCAATTAGAAATGTGAATTAAGTAAATGACTGTAGAGACATGGTATTTAACATATATCGTGTTTTTTAGAAAACAGTTTTTACCATTGTTATTTAAATTCGATTACTTTATGTGATTGTAATTCATTTGTTCATTTAATGCCCATGTTTGTTCTTGAGATTTTATGTAATTCATTTGAAGTTGTGTTAAGTATATACTGATGAACGATACGATATTGATATGTTTGGTTGTGTAAATCAGGCTAGTATTTTATAATAGTCAATAATATGAACTAATGAAGCAGACGTTGATAGTTGATTTGATATGTAAATAAACTTTTCGTACATTTTTAGAAATTAATTAATAATAATTACTTTAATTCTAACCGTGGTTAACCTGAAGGTACTTTATTCTATCTTAGCTTCATTGATATCAGTGATCAAAAGCGAAATTGTTTGTTTTGTCAGTTTAGTGTTAGTGATAAATTTCCATTATTATTTATTGACTTTTTACGAACATAAAATATTAGATTTTTACGACAAAATCTTTACGCTGATTTATGCAATGTATAGCTTGAAGTTCAATGTCAAGTAATTTTTAAACGACGAATAGCTGTTATTTATGTTCATTTGTAAATGTTTACTCTCGATCTTGCTCCCGCAACATCTTTGTTGATCACCAAATACATATGTGATGTACGAATGTTACGGTAGTCATCTCACGTTTCTCCAGACGAGAAGGTAAACATAAGAACCATCGTTATTGTGCTTCTTGAGTTTCTTAGTAATTTGACTCGTGATAGGTTGCAAACACTTGATGGATTTGAGTGAGTATAGGTAGTTGACGGACACGATTAGTGAATTGGAAGAAATCTGAAACAGGAAAGTTTATGGTGAATACTGCATGTTTATAAAACGTTTTTGCCCAGGAGTTTAAGCAAACCGCTGTATAGGTTAACAAGAATATTTTCGTAACATTCTTTGGTAAATTAAATAGTATTTACTGGAAAAGTTGATAAGATATTCCTTTTCACCGGGATCATAAAACAAATCCCTGTATACAATGTAAAAGTTACCCAGTACTCTCTATTTTTCATCAAGGTAATTGATTGATATTTCTTTGTCACCAGAAGAGAGAAAATTATTTCCCACGTGCTTGTCCTCGTAAATATTTAAAAAAAACTATTTGTGAAATGTTAATAATTAAACCAAACTAAAGCACGACATATTCGTTCATAATTCATATCCAATTATAAGTTGATCTCATATCAATAAATGATGATGATTTATTGTTCATAGACTAATCAGAATCTTTTCTCACAGCATTTTATATTACTTAACCACACCAATTTTTTTGTTTTGATAATGATAAAAATAACTAGAATAATATTTTAAACTTCCTTACAAATTATACTATTACTAACATTTGAATAATTAGTAGTACACTAGAAATTGTTAATATTAAATACTGTGAATGGATTGCGTAATAATCCAGTGTGAATCAATTTTATTCAAAAATAGTGATTTTTTTATCAAAGAAAAAGATGACACTGAAGACGAAGCAATGTTTTTTTCTTTAAAAAAATAATGCTAAGTTTTGTTCGGTTTGAGCCAAATGAAGAACTTTTTCATTCACTCTTCTGAAACAACGTAATGATATGTTCATCCAAGTTGGACATCTAGTATGACTTCATATGTTGAGAAGAAATTACTCCCACTCGTACAAAACATATACTGGTCGAGGAAAGATACGATACGCCATCACTTATTGTTACGTTCTTTATCTGTCTACCCACTACTATGCAGAAGATAACTTGCCTTAATCTAAATTAAGATCTTGACATGATAGGCTGACTGGCTTAACATTGAGACTAGAAACGTGTGAGTTCGAAGTGAGACTAACTGCTTGAAGTAGAAAGACGAGAACTATTCTATCACCTGATTGGCTGACAAGCTCACGAGAGAAAGAAGACGAATTAACTGGAACACCATCCGATCTATTCTCGAAACACGATTTACACTCCGATCAGGTTCCCGATTCAGACTAATGTGAAAAGATACATGAATAAATGGATGACTAACAAGATCACAATGCACAACAATTAGGTAAATACAATTACGTCCAAAACTGGGGATTAGTGTAGAAAATAGAGTACAAATATTATGTTTAAATGACAATAGCTTTGGAACAGAAACGGCTGTGGCAGTGAATCCTACATCAAACGAAAGCCTATGGTTTACAGAAAAAACTGGAGACAAAAATAAGTGTTGCTGTTTTAAAAGCTTAGAATTAAATTATATAACGTCCTCAAAAATAGCCTCCGTAGTTTGTCATAGCTTCTTCTTTCTCTTTTCACATCATTTATATTATTCAGTATAGATAATTACCGATACAAATTGGAATGAGAAAATGAGGTTCTGGGTCGAGGAAATACAAAGCATAACATATAGTCTTTAGATGCAATAGATTCATATCAATCTAAATCAACAAGTACATTGATACGGACTCAGTTTAACAATTCATACAGAAAACGTTGACTAACCACATCTTTAGAGGTTCTTCGGACAAAGTGGTCAACACAACCACAACGACACCCGAATACAAAATACTTGTTAAGACATCCAGTAAGAAATATTGTATGTCGAACGGACTGATTTAACGTTTGTAGCATTTTCAAATGACTCACTTCCTGTTAGAATGGGTTCAAATCGTATTGTTTAGTAGGATAGTAAAAAATCGGTCAAACGTCCTATGCATCACCATATAGTGGTGGGAAATCAACGAATCAGAATGATAACAAATGATAATCATATGTGTAAATCACGGTTTCGAATTATTTGTTTCACACTCGAGTCAGTATATTGACGGATTTATTAGTGTTAAGGAAAAATTATTTTTGGGTTTAGGAAATCGGTAAATAATCACATCAGAAAATAGAGGATTTTCGTCATAATCTTACATTTTATCGGTTTTGAATTGTTTTGTCTTCATAAATAATATCTACATGTATTTTAAAGTTCTTATAGTACTTATAAGTACGTAAGGAGTGGAAATCGGTTTAATTTTTTATGAATTTACATCAGTGATTTTATGAACTATCTGATAGAATAAAAATATTGAATTAATTTTTATTGCTCATAAGACTTGTATCCTAACGCTAATGTTTGATTGATAACACGTTTCGAAGAGGGTAAATTCATAGCTGCTGTAAATGGTTTACTAATTTGTCTGTCACAGAGATATTTTTCACACAGGATTATTCAACTTTTCATTTCTGAAATGGAAGTTTATCTAATAACAAGAAAGTTTTCTGAGTTTAACCTAAAATAATGTGTGATCATTTTTAAAATACTAAGTAGTATACATTTTCTGTACCCGAATAGCCCACATTTCTGTACGTTATCGACATAATATAACGTGATCAGTTTTAAAAATTCCTCCTTTTATCATTCTGTATCATACATTTACCCATATCAAGTAACAAGTAGTTGTCCGCCAATTATATTAGAAAATAGTTTTCACAGTGTTTAAGGCTAATCACGTAAACCATTGGTTATCTGATCAGGGGTTTAAAGGTTAAAGGTTCTGGATTTGATCCTCGCTTGAGTTACGGGCGCATTCTGCTGAATTCTGTAGTAAAATAATACTTTTCGATAACTTTTTAACTAAAACCAGCCCGTGATATATAACAAATCCAATATTTAGTATGAACTGCTTTTGGTAATCAAATGATGTATTCATGTATTTGTATAATTTCACTTCATTATTCATTCAGAATACATTTTCGAAGGTTTATAAAATATCAAGTCATTAACAGGTATTTAAAATATTTTTGTCCTCTTCCTTTTTATAGAAAATGATTATTATTGGTATTTGCGTGGCGATCCTCATTTGCATTATTGTTGGAACAATTGTCGGTATGGTGCCAGGAATATGAAAAGTCACCTGAAAAAAAATTATTTATTATTATCATTTATTACTAATGATTATGATTTTATTTCAAATTTATTCAATCAGTTGATAACTTATTCACAGTTCAGATTAATTTTGAACAGTGAATTCTTCTTCAATCAATATGTATGTGTTTTTCTCTTTGCAGTTATATGTAGTTGTGTATTTGTGTGTACGGTGGCATGCAAAGAATTCAACTAGGTATTTCATTTTCCTCTTACTGTACTCTGTTTTTTCTCTCACTCATTCTCTTGTTTATATAAACGCATAAATCTTTAGTACATTGTACAACATACAGTTGTACCAATATCATTCGACCCTATACAATTATTGGCGTTTTCTCTCTCCCTTGTTAAACATTAATATCGTTTATTCAATCGTCGATACTTATGTATTTTCTTTTTTTTTCCAAATGGTGAAGAATAAAATTGAGGTTTTTCTAAGAACAAAATACGTATTACAACTGCAGTTGTAATTAAATTTTCGCTTTCTTATTTCGCTTTGCCAATCTTACTATAATTTTTGTTGTGAGTGTTGATATCATTTGTGCCATGCATTGATTTTTGTTCAAACAAAATAGCACTACTGATTTTCGGTTAATCAGTAAATTATCTTGTTTTCTTGGGCTTTCCTTTTCCTCTATCCGGCAGTTGTGAAACTATTAAGTAAAACAATTTTTGTATTATTCATTCTTAATTTTATTATCATTGTATCAAACGGTTTGTGTTAAAAATAAGTTTTATTTAATACTATAATACCAGATTGGATATCAGAAACAAATTGGTCAAGTCCTTTTGTTATGAGATCCAAATATACATTATAATATACGTTCGTTTGGAAGTATGGCAATTTTTTGTTTTATTTTGAAACTCATTAAAAGAAATAATCAATAAGTAATAAATTGCCAAATGACGTTCAATGAAGAATGTTTTATATTCAATCAATAAGTTTGCTCATTTAGTCAATCACACATAAACACAAATGTTTTTTTTCGCTTCCTTCCAGTTTGTAATTATTTATCTTCTTTTCTGGGTGGTTAGATAAAGAAGTGAACGCGTTTTCCTCATTGTTTATTTACTCATGTTGTGTGTATTCATGTGTGTAGCTATACTTCCTCTTGTCTGTCCCTAATACGTCGTTCATGTGTTTCATTCCATTTTATTGTAGACCTCAAAATAATTGTGCGAGTGACTGTGTATACAGAAATATTACAAAAAGTTTTTGTAAAAAACCAAAGCTAGAATACAGTAATATAATCATCTAAATAGCATTTACTTTTCTCCCTATTTGTTCCCACAGAATCCTCTCACACTTCCAGTTACCATGTGAACTAGTTTATTTACTCAAAATATTCTATCCTTTATCTGTATTAGGTTATTTATTAACTTCTGTCCTATTCTTATCTATAAGTCTGTGTGTGTTTAGTGTTGGTTAACCTATATATCCACTAAAAATTTACTTAATTATAAATTTTCAGTATGTAATAGGGTCTTTTTATTTGATTTAATTCAGTTTATTTACATATTACCTGACTGATTAGTCTCATCGTCAAATATTCAACACTTCTTTAGTTTATAATTAGGCACAAACGCTCATTCATACACATACAAATACACATACTTAAGCATACATAAATGCAACTTTCTTCACAAGATGTTTATAACAGAAATACCTGTTATTTATGATACTTCTCTTCAATTAAAAATATTTCTAGTATTAACAATAGTCATATGGAATTATATATTCAAGAAAAAAGGAGTTATTCATAATCGAAAAAATAAAACTTATATATATATATACGATTGCTCAGTTCACATGCAAGCATTTAATACTATTCATACACTTTTACTCTTCTTCCTCTCATTCTCCGTGTATTTACCTTTTAGTGATTAAAATGACAACAACAAAAAAACTTATCTATTTTGTTCCTTCTATTAAATTGATTAAATGTCCTGTGTTTCCCTCTTGTTATCCATAAACCTTTTATTTGTTTGTTGATTATTTTTCCTTCAAAATAAACATTTGTTCAGTGAATCAAAAAATAGATTGATAGCTATTGATTTCAGAGACAACTTAATTGACTTTGCTAGAACATGTATTTGAGTTATATAGTAAGTTGAAAGTTATTTGGTTGATTTTTCTATCTGCCAATCTTTTCTTTATTTTTCCTCTCTTTTTTTTACAAAAAATTTGTTTTCACCTCTATATATTGTGACTTGTTTAGTTATTTATACGAATTTACAGGCTAATTCCTTTTGTTTATCAGAAGCTTTTGTAAATTATTATTATTATTATTATTATTATTATTATTATTATTATTGTTATTATTATTGTGGTGATTATTATTAATATCGGTTATTATTATTACTATTATTATCACTAATGTTATTATTATTCAAAAAATTTGCCTAAAGATTATGCTATACTTTTCATTTAACTCTCTATTAAACAATATGACATAGATTGAAATGTGATACATCATTGCCGAGATATTCTATAATTATCGTGATGCCTCATGATTTAGAAATGAATAGATTACAAAAATGTAAAATATGCAATCAGTAGATTGAACATGCTAATATTTAGTATTAATTAGTATCGATGTAACTAGTGTTAGTCGTTTTAGTAGTAGGGTTATTTATTTTATATACTGCCTTTGGATACATCAGTTGCGAGAAAAAAAAAGACCAGGTGAATTTATGGTCTCATCTAATTGCTGAATACTTGTTTATCGTCTAAAGTGTAATTGTAATGTAGCTGTCTCAATGGTGGTAATTGAATTACACTCTGTTCAAATTATTCTTAAGCAGAGGAAATGACTTTTTGTTCTCATAAATATCATATGTGACATTTTAAAATTTTGAAATATGAATCATTCGAAAATTACAGTACAACATAATTTTTAATATGATGAGATGCATGAAACATATGCTACTGAACACTAACACCATCTAATAACTGTTATTTTAAGGTAATGTTCACCGCAGTTCAAAGGAGAAAGTCTCTTGTTTTTACATGGAAAATGCTAATCAGAAAACTAAAGACAGAAATTGATTAACACGTCAGACTTAAAACTTTCATTATCTTGATAGTATTCCGATGAATTATCATAATTTCAGCTAGGTGATCACTATAATTCCACACTTATATATTTAAGATAAACGTAGTGTGAAAGACTGTTCAATATTAGAAATGAAAGGACAGCAGTGCTATAGGCACAATTCCAACACATTCAAATGTAAATTAAAGGTAACACAACACGTTAATAGCTACGGTGTAAATTTTAAAAATGCACCAGTTGCTTATTATTTTCAGTCTTTAGCAAGTCCTACGTCGTCCACTCTGCTAAACCCGTTTACTGTCTCTGCTACTGTATTGTTTCATCAAACCGTTGGGTCATAGAATTTTTTTCACATTTCTCAACTCTTTAACTCAGATAGCCAAAGTTATGCGACAACATAATTACGATAAAAATAGCATGTTACACTATATAAATAAGTACGTAACAGTAACGTTTTTGATGCCTGGCTATGTAACCGACTTTTGGTTGATTTTCTGTTAGAAGGTAAAACATATAGCAATAATTGAACCAAAAGTGGGTTTGTAATTTAGACTTCATGGAAATATCCTAAAACTACTGTTTGATAAGGAAATCTTGAAACACAAAAATTGAATTATACAATAATTATCTAAATTACAGACTTTTCTACCTATGAATAAGGTTATCTCAAACTTCACATCATCGAAAAATGAAAGCATATTTATTAAGGAACATTTTTTGTAGTCCGCATACCTTTTAATAACTGGACTCAATAATGAAAATATGATCACATGGTTACCCTTTCGCGACTAACTCTCAAAGAACATTTCACGCTTTGTAAACTGGCGTTTTAAAAATCTAAATTAATAAATTTTACGATGATGAAGCAAAAATATCTGTTTGATTAGTTGATTTAATCTAATAAAAACTAGAAAACTTATATTCACATTCAAATTCTGCCTTAGCCCTGAAAAATCAATAAGAAGCGTCCATCTTGCATGCTTTAGTTTGTATATGTGTTCATCAATAAATCTACATCCATCTTGTTGATTGAAACTATTTTACTACTATGGCAATAAGTGGGAGTTTATAAAAATCTGAGCTTTTGATTGAAAACATTTAAATTATGATAGGCGAATTGAGAAGAAAACATTTCATGTTCACGTTGTATATTTTCATTATCAATCACTGTATGTGAACACTTACAGGTTTTTTTGCCGAAATATTCGATATAATGCAAGGAAAAGGCAAGTATTTCTGCCACGCAAAATTAATAGGATCTCTCATCAATAAATAATTGGCCTAACATTTTAACTATCTCTACTTAGAATCTGCCGAAAATAATTGGATTATATGATATAACTGTTTATCACTGAGTACAAAACTAAAATTTTCTACAAAGTTTATTTGTGGAGACAAACAGTCAAAATTTCTTTCGCTTACAATGTCTAAACACAAACTTTATAATGAATAATGATCAAAAAATAATGTTCACTTAGTTTTTGTACCTTAGTCCGTTAACGTCTATCCTGATACAGTTTCATGGTAACTTACTCAGGTCATTAAAATATTGCGTACCCTGGCTGCCATTTACACGATAAAAACTTTCGTATGGTTAAATTATACTGAAGTTACATGATTCCGTATTTTTTATAAAATTAAACTACTTAATAATGTCGAATAACAATATTAAATATATTAAATAATTAACTACTCTAAAGAGCGTTTACAATATGAATTGATACCAGTTAGAGAACTGTCGAAATCCAAAGATTGCTGTTTCGTCGTATTTCAAGTCTTTTTCTGAACCTGAACTAGAGTCGTTAGGTATATACGATAGTACATTATAACAGCGAATCTCAAATTTCTTAATCAGTTTCCGCTTATCAATCAATTCCATAAACACGTTAGTAAGAAATATATGATAAGTTGATGACAAATAAGTATTTAGTTTTTCCTTCACATTAAAGGTTATTTAGAACATTTCAAATAATTTCCAACATATAAAAGGTACAACTAATTTTTCATCCTTTCCCAGAATTATACCCAGATTGAAAGGTGAACCAACACGATTGGTTCATTCATCGCGTATTTTACAAATTAGCGTTGCTTGTAAATCAACATATATCAATCAATGTACTAGAGATATATTGTTTTTTTAACCATGAGAACCCTCCAGTGTGGTTGGGCAAAAGTACGGATAAGATTGCAGATAACTCGCTCTTAGCCCATCTAGTTAAACTAGGCCAATATGAATCATTCGTCTTCAGAGGTCTATCGTCTCAGTTGTAATCTTTCAAAGTGATCAGGTTCAGAGTCCTTGAGATTACGAAATTATTAAACATAAGGTTGTGACTATATTTTGAAGACAACAATAAATAATTGTAAAAACGACCTTGTGGAATTTCACATTATATTGACTAATGGAAATTCAGTTGATATAAATGAATGATTTATTGATGTAAACAGGTAAAAAAATCCAGAAGATTAGGCTACTTTTGTAGTTTGTGAAGTTTCAAGTTGAACTGCAAGGGCAAACCAATGAAAATTGAGGTGACTCTAATGTTGAGGATCAAATATTGAAATAATATAATGATTATTGACGGTATTACTAATTATACCAAAAAACCATAAGGGACCACTTATCAAAGGTTAATGTTTTGAGGAGGATGCTTATCTTAGATTGTGGACTAGAAAGGGTTGTGAAGGAGTGCAAAGAGATAAGTGGAGAAGCATAATTTCGTTATAATGTATATAAGCTTAAGAAATCAGTCAGAACAGATTAGATTTTTATCTTCGAAGGTTAATATTGCTGCTTGTAATTTACTGGGTCTGTCCGATCCATCTTCAATACAACGATTTCAGTATTACGGAATTTTACTATTCGTTATAGTAATATACATCTAAAACGTGGGAGCCATAAGAAATCGTCTAATAAATTATTTACACTGAAAAGGCTCGCAAAAGATGCTTGAGAGCCATAAAGTTTGGTCTATTCATAGAATGTCTTCGGAGTTTGGGATAGGACAGCCAGTAGACAGATTGAAAAAATACAGTTATCATGTAAAATCATCACATAATAATTTCCTTCATTCCGTTATTGATACATATTATAAGTCTTGTGGATTGAACGCTACATGTCATATCTAGTCGTCGCTGATTGTTGTGTCGGGAACGCTTATCACTTGTACTCGAAACAAGGGACCTCTGCAATTCCCACGACGCGAAAGTAAGAACACAAAGACTGGTATAATTGATGATTTATTAACCCCCAAATCACGACGACAACCCCAGTTGAAAATACACTCATTTATACATTGATTGTACATATACTTTGATTAATAATTAGGATGAAATCATATATATATCGTATAATATACAAAATAAAATATCATACCAGAAAACAAATCAAATGCTGCATTGAGTAATCATTACATTGAATTAAAACGGAAGTAATGTTGAACAAAACCCATAATGAGTAAATCAATCGAATTTCGACTTTTCTCACCATATCAACATATACACCTGCTTCCTGATTAATCGAAAGTTTCCCTCCATACGGTTAAACAAAATAGTGTAGTGAACAAGAACACGAGTGGGGACAATCGATTGTATTTAGCACAAAAATTACAGACTATCTCAATAAAATGTGAATACCATAAAGTCAATCGTCAATTTGCAAAATATCATTCCATCATATCAAACCGTACTGTTCCTGTTACAAACACTAATCCATTGTACATGCGTTTTCTTACAATTCCATTGTGCTCTTGCTCTTCCTTTCTTGATCTTCCCCATCTTCTACTGCCGGACATTACGTTCTTTTAACGCACGTTATATACTACTTATATAAGTAGCTCACACCACAATAGTACTCTCAACATTTGATTTCATTTTCAAATAAAATTCCCATCAACACCAGGCGATTTTCGTAAACCAGATTCCTTATCTTGTCATTTACACTGTATGACTGAACAATAAATATGTTTATTAATCGCAGGAATCTTAAGAACTAAATTAACGAAAGTTTCGCTTAGTGATTAGCCAAGTGTGTTTTGAATTTTGTACAAGGAATCAATATTTTGAATCTGGTTGTTTCGTCTTTAAAGTATAATTTTACCAACATGAAGTTTGAAATCCCGAAGACCTATGTTCAAAAGCGTGCTTAGTCCTATTTTAGAATTTGCTCATCGTCAGGCCTAATCAGTATTCAGTCTATTAACTGGTCCAATACGATTTATGTACATGTTGTAATGTTATTCCATTAAATTAATGTGCG